CAGCAGTCTGATCCACTCCTGGTCTTACAGTGTTGTCAGACTCCCAGTACACAGCAGTCTGATCCATTCAAGGTTTTACAGTGCTGTCAATGAGACAGAAACCCAGGATGGGTGAAACTGCTGTACAATGGGAGCTTGGTCAGTCCGCACACATCACTCCGCAGTCACCCTGCCCGGCAAGAGCCATACACACAGCATCGTCACGCCCCACTACAGCGAGGTTACCGAAAGGCCACAACTCGGATCATAATCTAACTCTGAAACACGAATTCGCAGGTAACAGGTCCAGTCAGGCAGCCCGCCGTCTCTAAAAACGTTCACAACGTCAACATCCCAATCCCTCAAAACATTTTAATGCTCCATGACATATGAGCGAGTGTAAGGCGCTACACAAACTTAACGTATTATTACAAGATCAAACAAAGCACCCACACGGCGTGCTGCTAGCGTTAGAAGCAGCGACGTTATCCGTCCTGGGGACGTTAAACAGCTCTCGGGACCGGAGACTTGCTGTCTTCTACACGAGCAACAAATGACCGTTCTGAAGTTACACAAAAAAAACACGAATTTTAATTAAGATGTCGACTTTATCAGTATGGTTTTGTCTCTGTGGGATGCAGAAAACGTGAACTAAGCACAGAGCTGCTGTAAGTGTTAATTCTACACAATTACACCAATAAACGACTCAGCACTGTTAACTTACTCTCTTGTATCGGCCGGACGTCTGACTTTGGGGTATTTTCTCTCTTTCGTAAGATACGGCGTCTTTTTTCGAAAATAAAATACTTTTTTGTTTTGCCTGAATTGCTTGTCTCTACACGCACTCGCCCCCCAGCTCTTATATTTGATTTTTTTTTCTCTTTCTGTCGCACGTACACGCTGCCCTCGCCTCGCCTCCTCCGAGAAAATGGCGACCGACTTCAGACGGGCCAAGATGGAGACTCCGTCCATTTCCGGTCTTAAGTAAATCCAGCCTCTCGAAAGTGCGAACAGTGTTTAAAATCAAGTTTAATCTTTTCTGGTAACAAAACAAACGCTATTTAAAAACAGCAAGAAAATTGAATAGTATAAATCAAACGATATAGTCTCCTTTTGACTCCTTAGTTCTGAAAAAAAGGGTTTCTAGATACTTGGTTAGGAATAAAATGAACTCCGCATCCCACCATGCATCTCGTGTTATTGCGTCACCATGACAGGTTTGTCTATATTTCCTGTCCACCACTTCCGCCGCCTCGCCATTCATTCCACCGTTGTCAGAAAACGCGAAGACTCCACTTCCCAAGGGTCATAGCAGCGCACTCCTCATGTCGGGCCTACAAACATTGCCACTCAGGACTACATTTCCCAGTCGGCTCAGTTGAAGGCATCGCCGGAATGGCCGCAGTCGCAGTGATAGAGACTCCGTCAGGAAAGGATGCCATCGCCGAGGGGCTGCTGGATTTGCTCAAACCCGCCGTGCAGCAGCTCGACATGCATGTGCACTCAGTGAGGTAAGGGGGCAAATCAGTCTTCTGTCGGCGGCAGATGGGGGGGAGGGCTGTCACCGCTGGTGACATCGGCTTTTGTGGCTGGCGGGCCGATCGCCCCGTGATGTAGCCTCCCCCGACAGCCCGGAAATAACAATAAGTATGACAGCGAACCACTGGCGCGATGAATTTGCATTCCACAGCGGCGAAGGGCAGATGACAGGGGGGTTAGCGAAGTAATTTCGTTCGTAGTGGAGTGGACTGAACTCTCGCTCGTCTCAGGCAAGATGTGTTGATGAGTGAAGTCCTGGGCAGTTGTAATATTCCTGCTGTTGTGATTTCAGGGAGAGTCAGGTGGAGCTTCGCGAACACATTGATAATCTGGCCACAGGTAAGAGAAGACTGTCTTCGTAGTGTTAATGTGAAGATACAGAGGAGCTGGACTGAGTGTCTGTACAGTGACTCTCCAGGTCTGATGATGATGAAGGAGTGTTCATGTGAAGATACAGAGGAGCTGGACTGAGTGTCTGTACACTGACTCTCCAGCTCTGATGATGATGATGATGATGATAGAGTGTTGATGTATGAGGTTGGAGGTTAGCTCTGAAATCTCTCTTTCTCTCTCAGAGCTGTGCAGGATCAACGATCACCAGAAGGTGGCGCTAGACCTGGATCCTTATGTGAAGAAGTTGTTGAATGCTCGGCGCCGGGTTGTGCTTGTCAACAACATCCTGCAGAACGCACAGGTCAGATAACACTGGTGTCCTGACTACTGGTCACTACAGACCCCAGGACACTGTCAGTAAGAGTGGGGT